TTCAGCCGATTACCATCGCTGGCTTACAGACCACTCCCCGCACACTGTTGTCGGTCATGGCGCCTGTTTGACCATACTTCACCACGCCGGTCATTCATTCGTTCATTGTCGGTAATGGCGAAGGGATGTGCCCCAAGGACAAGTCCAGATGTGACCCGGCCACTGACGTTGGCCGTCGTGTGGGCGGATTGAACTCAGGTCGCCAGGTTCACGGCATCGCGTGCCTAGTTAAAACACCGCCACCACCACACCCTGGATTATGTAAAAGTGTTTTTTGTTATTTGTTTTCTATTTTTAGATATTTTTTGTCGATCGGGGATTATGGTGAAAAAGATCGAGCCTCGAGTTTGTTTGGTTTAAGCTGCAAGTGAGAATCTCAAGAGACCAGGGTGGAGAGTTTCAATTGGAAGAGTGAGTGGGTGAGAGAGTGAACAGTGGGCGAGATGGTGGATGAGTGCATGAGTCGGATGGTGGGTGGGTGAGTGAATGAGTGATACGGTGGGCGAGTGACTGATTGAGTGGGTGAATGAGGGGGGTGAGTGAGATAGTGGCTGAGTGACTGAATAAGTGGATGAGTGAACGAGTCAGATGGTGGGTGGGTGAATGAGGGGGGGGGGTGAGTGTGATAGTGGTTGAGTGACTGAACACGTGCATGAGTGAATGAGTCAGATGGTGAGTGAGTGAAGGATTGAGTGGGTGAATGAGTGGGTGAGAGTCAAACTGCAGGGGGTAAATGATTGAATGAGTTTAAGTTTACTGTGGAATTTATCGAAACATGTGATAACTCCAAATACCAGAAGTCTCATTTGCAAGAGCGAGTGAATGAATAAGTGAAATTGTGGGTGAGTGAATGATTGAGTGGGTGAATTAGTGTGCAAATTGGTGGGTGAGTGAGATAGTGGGTGGATGAGGCAAGTTGGTGGGTGAGTGAATTCGTGGGTGAATGAGTGGGTGAGTGAACTCGTGGGTGAGTGACTCAATGAGTGGGTGAGTGAGATAGTGGGTGAGTGACTGAATGAGTGGGTGAGTGAGCTAGTGGGTGACTGAATGAGTGGGTGAGTGAGATAGTGGGTGAGTGACTCAATGAGTGAGTGAGATAGTGGGTGAGCGACTGAATGAGTGGGTGATGAGATAGTGGGTGACTGAATGAGTGGGTGAGTGAGCTAGTGGGTGAGTGACTGAATGAGTAGGTGAGTGAGGTAGTGGGTGAGTGACTGAATGAGTGGGTGAGTGAGCTAGTGGGTGAGTGACTGAATGAGTGGGTGAGTGAGCTAGTGGGTGACTGAATGGGTGGGTGAGTGAGCTAGTGGGTGAGTGACTGAATGAGTTAGTGAGCTAGTGGATGAGTGACTCAATGAGTGAGTGAGATAGTGGGTGAGTGACTCAATGAGTGAGTGAGCTAGTGGGTGAGTGACTCAATGAGTGATTGAGATAGTGGGTGAGTGACTGAATGAGTGGGTGAGTGAGCTAGTGGGTGAGTGACTGAATGCGTGGGTGAGTGAGATAGTGGGTGAGTGACTGAATGAGTGGGTGAGTGAGCTAGTGGGTGACTGAATGAGTGGGTGAGTGAGCTAGTGGGTGAGTGACTGAATGAGTGGGTGAGTGAGCTAGTGGGTGACTGAATGAGTGGGTGAGTGAGGTAGTGGGTAAGTGACTCAATGAGTGGGTGAGTGAGCTAGTGGGTGACTGAATGAGTGGGTGAGTGAGCTAGTGGGTGACTGAATGAGTGGGTGATTGAGCTAGTAGGTGAGTGACTGAATGAGTGGGTGAGTGAGCTAGTGGATGACTGAATGAGTGGGTGAGTGAGCTGGTGGGTGAGTGACTGAATGAGTGGGTGAGTGAGCTAGTGGGTGAGTGACTGAATGAGTGGGTGAGTGAGCTAGTGGGTGACTGAATGAGTGGGTGAGTGAGGTAGTGGGTAAGTGACTCAATGAGTGGGTGAGTGAGCTAGTGGGTGACTGAATGAGTGGGTGAGTGAGCTAGTGGGTGACTGAATGAGTGGGTGATTGAGCTAGTAGGTGAGTGACTGAATGAGTGGGTGAGTGAGCTAGTGGATGACTGAATGAGTGGGTGAGTGAGCTGGTGGGTGAGTGACTGAATGAGTGGGTGAGTGAGCTAGTGGGTGAGTGACTGAATGAGTGGGTGAGTGAGCTAGTGGGTGACTGAATGAGTGGGTGAGTGAGGTAGTGGGTAAGTGACTCAATGAGTGGGTGAGTGAGCTAGTGGGTGACTGAATGAGTGGGTGAGTGAGCTAGTGGGTGACTGAATGAGTGGGTGATTGAGCTAGTAGGTGACTGAATGAGTGGGTGAGTGAGATAGTGGGTGAGTGACTAAACAAGTGGGTGAGTGAGATAGTGGGTGAGTTAAATAATTGAGTTTAACATGGAGTCTTCCGCGACCAATATTATTCATAATAAGGGTCGCGTGAGTATAAATGTTGTGTCGTAACCCTCCACCACCCGACACAGCCTGTAAGGTTTGTCACGTAAACAACGCGCCAATTAGTTACTTCAATAAGGTTTCCACACATCTGTAAGGTCTTTTCCTGAGGACGACCGCCTGTGTTGCGATCGCAACGTCGTGATATATATTATTTATTATTTTATGTTTCTACCCACGTGACTTTACCGAAAGAACCAAAGAGTATGGATTCCTGCAGTCACGAAAGCTTCAAATGAAGATTCATAAGTTACTACTTCAGCCCACCGGTGTGTTGGGAGAGTAAATCCATGACACTGGATTTACATTGGCAATGGTTTTACACATCGCACCTCATTTGAGGCCCAGTCGACAGCTCAGATAATCGTCACTTGCTGTTGGCCGTGGGCGGGAATCGAACTCGGCGCAGCGTAGCGCTGACCACTACACCACCGCTCCCCGCAGCGGCACATGGCAGTGTAAAGGAGTTGTTACCTGTAAAGGAGTTGTTACGCGTTTACAGTGGCACGCTGTGACACTCTCTTTTGGAAATGTTCCTCCATCTGGCCCGAGACTAACTCACACACCAAGACCCATAGGCTCACAGAGACCCATAGAATCACATATAGACTCGTAGACTCACATAGAGACCCGTAGGCTCACACGCAGACCCATACACTCACGCAGACTCATACTGACACATAGACCCAGGCTCAGAGAGCGATGATAGACTCACACACAGACCCATACACTTACATCGAGACTCATACTCTCACATAGAGACCCACAGACTCACAGAGTAACCATTAGACTCACATTGAGACCCATACACTCACCGAGACATGTTGACTCGCAAAGAACTTATCGACTCACACAGATACTCAGAGACACACACAGATACTCAGAGACTCACACAGATACTCAGAGACACACACAGAGACCTATAGACTCAGAGAGACCTATAGACTCACACAGATACTCATAGACTCACACAGATACCCACAGACTGACACAGATACTCAGAGACACACACAAAGACCTATAGACTCACACAGAGACCTATAGACTCACACAGATACCCACAGACTCACACAGATACCCACAGACTGACACAACTACTCACAGACTCACACAGATACTCAGAGACTCACACAGAGACCCACAGACTCACACAGATACCTATAGACTCACACAGATACTCATAGACTCACACAGATACCCACAGACTCACACAGAGACCCACAGACTCACACAGATACTCAGAGACACACACAGATACTCAGAGACTCACACAGAGACCCACAGACTCACACAGATACCCACAGACTCACACAGATACCCACAGACTCATACAGATACCCACAGACTCACACAGATACCCACAGACTGACACAGATACCCACAGACTCACACAGATACCCACAGATACCCACAGACTCACACAGAGACCCACAGACACAGATACCCACAGACTCACACAGATACCCACAGACTCACACAGATACTCACAGACTCACACAGATACCCACAGACTCACACAGATACCCACAGATACCCACAGACTCACACAGAGACCCACAGACTCACACAGATACCCACAGACTCACACAGATGCTCACAGACTCACACAGATACCCACAGACTCACACAGATACTCACAGACTCACACAGATACCCACAGACTCACGCAGATACTCACAGACTCACACAGATACTCACAGATACCCACAGACTCACACAGAGACCCACAGACTCACACAGATACCCACAGATACCCACAGACTCACACAGAGACCCACAGACTCACACAGATACCCACAGATATCTACAGACTCACACAGATACCCACAGACTCACACATAGACCCACAGACTCACACAGATACCCACAGACTCACACAGATACCCACAGACTCACACAGATACCCACAGACTCACACAGATACCCACAGACTCACACAGACTCACACAGATACCCACAGACTCACACAGATACCCACAGACTCACACAGACTCACACAGATACCCACAGACTCACACAGACTCACACAGATACCCACAGATACCCACAGAGACCCCCAGACAGACTCACACAGCGGCGTTCTAGGGTCCGGGCACCCTGGGTGACCGCGTGTGCGAGTGACTACTGAGTGTGAGAGAGAGACTGAGATTGCGAATGAGTGAGTGACCGAGTGAGTGACCGAGTGAGTGACTGAGTGTGAGGAGTGAGTGACCGAGTGAGTGACTGAGTGAGTGAGTCACTGAGTGAGTGACTGAGTGAGTGAGGACTGAGTGAGTGACTGAGTGACTGACCGAGTGAGTGACCGAGTGAGTGACCGAGTGTGAGGAGTGAGTGACCGAGTGAGTGACTGAGTGACTGACTGAGTGACCGAGTGTGAAGAGTGAGTGACTGAGTGAGTGACTGAGTGAGTGAGTGAGTGACCGAGTGAGTCACTGAGTGAGTGACCGAGTGAGTCACTGAGTGAGTGACTGAGTGAGTCACTGAGTGAGTGAGTGACCGAGTGAGTGACTGAGTGAGTGAGTCACTGAGTGAGTGACCGAGTGAGTGACCGAGTGTGATACCTGAATGGGTCACTGCTCCTCCTCCGTGGCTAATCTTGCTCTTCTTTCGCCTCCTATCCGCGTTCATCTCCGCTCTATCCGCTCCCTGTCCGCGTGCGTGTCTGTGTGTATGTACAGCCGTGTGTGTCTGTGTCTGTGTGTATGTACAGCCGTGTGTGTGTGTCTGTGTGTATCCCGTGTGTGTGTGTCCGTGTGTGTGTATGTACAGCCGTGTGTGTGTGTCTGTGTGTATCCCGTGTGTGTGTGTGAATGCGTGTGTGTGTGTCCGTGCCGTGAGACTTCACACGCGACCCACAGTGCACCTAGCCTGGCACGAGGCGGCTGTGCTGACGTCACGGACACTTAGTGGTGAATGGCGGCTGTTGTTGACTGCCTGTTGTTGTTGTCTGTGGGTATGTAAGCAGCACAGCGTGTATACTGTTAACAGGACTGTGTATATACTGTCTGTGTAGATGCGTGTCTGTGCACGTGTGTGTCCGTGTGCCAATAAGTTGTGTGTCTTTGTCTGTGTACACACTAACACTCGCCTGCACAGCCGACACACACACACAGACACGACTACACGCACGCATCAACAACCACCGTGGCCAACACCACCACGACCCCAACTCATGTGTCGGAAGAACGGAGGCTGCTGTCACATGCAAACCGTGCTCATGTTTGTAATGATTAGCCCGGAGGGGCGAAGGGATGGGTGGTGGTGGATGGTGGTGGTTGGGTGGGGGTGGTGGTGGGTGGGTGGGGTGGTGAGTGGGGGTGGTGGGTGGGTGGGGGTGGTGGGTGGGGGGTGGTGGTGGTGGTGGGTGGGGTGGTGGGTGGGGTGGGAAGCAGTGGAACAGATTTTTTTTATTTTTCTAAACCAAACAGCGCTAGAGAGAGGCGCTGCAAAATAACAAAAGCCCGCTCCGCCGATCCGGCGGCGACTCCTTCATCATGTTCTGCGTGTCTGCGGTAAACTCCCAACGAATCGACTTACGAAGCGATTATTAGATTCGACTTGACGGCGCCGGGGCGTTGATTAGCGGTTACCGGAATCGAATCGATAACGACGCCTCCCGCCCCCGTCAGCACTCCATCCGACACAAAAATATAATCGATTACACACGCGGGACTTCATGCATCCAGTGAATCGATACTGACGACTTCCCTCCTCCCCCCTCGCCCCCCCCCCTCGCCCTCAACCTAGCCCCGCCCTCTTATCCCTAGCCCCTCCCCCTCCGTCATCCTCCGCCGCCGCCGCCCCCCCCCCACCGCGAAGGAATGCGTCGCCCCTTCCATTGTCCCTCCCTTACGTCACATCCGGCTCAGCACATCGCGCAATCCGATTGGCTGACGACAACCCCGGCCTCGTGTGTGTGTGTGGTCTCGTGTGCGTGCGTGTGGGACCGGGAGGGGTTCCGGTTTGGGTTCCATCAGCCCCAGCAGGAGCCGTGATCTGTCCACTGCTGGATGCTGCCACAGGAGCCGATGTCGTCCTTTGGGAGGATTGTGACGATGCAAGATCATCATCGCCATCGTCATCCAATCGTTGATTAACACTCTTTCACTTTAAGATTTTTCTTGTTCATGTTTTTTTGTTTGTTGCAGTTGCACCCGATTCAAGAGCCGAATGGCTCACAGGGCTATACCAAATAAATGAACTATGAACTATGGTTATATTTTTCGTTCACGTAGTCACGTAGGTAGAAAAAAATAAATCACAGGTCACGACGTTTCGATCGCAGCACGGTTGTGTTGGATGCACGAAGCCCCACCACGGTTGTGTTGCCATCGAAACGTCGTGAACAATTTTATTTTTTCCTACCTACGTGACTTTACCGAAAGAACCAAAGAGTATCGATTCCAGCAGTCACGAAAGCTTCAAATCAAAATTAATTAATAATCGAATAAATTTTGATTTGAAAGCTTTCGTGACTGCAGTCATTCATATTCTTAGCTCTTTCGGTAAAGTCCCGTTTTATGTTTTTTATTATTTTATTGTTTCCCTTCAACGTGACTTTGCCGAAAGAGCTAAGAATAATAATCGAATAATTAATTATTCATTCACGAATGACTAAGCAATCGATGTCACGATATAATCGATGTCACGATATGAACACTTTCAGATTTGATCTATCCACTGCTGGATGAAGGTCTCCCTCCCCAAACCGTGTCAGTAATAGCTGGGTTGTATTTTTTCCTTCACCATAGTTCACCATACTTCACCACTGTGGTCAGTGCGGGTTTGTGAAGCGAGTAGGATGAGGGAGGGATGGAGGGAGGACCGGTTCACAATATTCTGATATATTTTGATATATATGTATCAGCCAACCATCGATATCAGCCGCGGTCGGGAATTGAACTCAAGCCGTCGCATTCACTGCGCGGTGCGCTAACCACTGCGCCACCGCTCCGTCAGTTCCATCGTCAGCTATGATCTATCCACTGCCGAATAAAGCTCCCCCCCCTCCTCCCGCTCACCACCTCCTCGAAGCCGCTGCCATCCCCCACGATCATGCGATGCAAGCCATGGCAGCAGATGCGGACACCTGACGCACAAATGTGAACATTAAAAACTCTCCGTTTTGCGACTGCGGTCATGCACACACAAAGTCTGTGGGGAGGGAGGGAGGGAGGCGTGAATGAGAGAGGAGGACGGTGATGAGCGGTGCACCATGGCACCTCCTGGGTTCTGTCTCTGACCTCCTGACCTGCCGGCAGCCTTCGACGCTTCACGTGACGGCCTCACCGTGCAGCCTGGCCTGGCACGGGCGCCGTGGACGACGTCGCCATCACTGAGCGGCGAGTGGTGGGTACGGTATTGGTATTGGTACGGTATTGGTATTGGTACGGTATTGGTACGGTATTGGTACGGTATTGGTATTGGTACGGTATTGGTACGGTATTGGTATTGGTACGGTATTGGAATTGGTACGGTATTGGTATTGGTACGGTATTGGTATTGGTACGGTATATTTGTATTGGTACGGTATTGGTACGGTATTGGTATTGGTACGGTATTGGTACGGTATTGGTATTGGTACGGTATTGGTACGGTATTAATATTGGAGGTGCTGGTGGGAATCTCGTCGAGAGCCGCACGGCACAGGGGGGACACCGGTGGCGCGTTTGACGCCCCTCGAGCGGCACGGGGAGCAAAAGGGCCGAGAGATGATGACATTTTATCCAGGATAGAGGCTTCATTTTATTTTGTGAGGGTTAGAGCACGCAAATGTAAATGCGTCCTTAGACCCGTCACCGCCATTTACGATTGCAAATGTTGTGGGTTCACTCTCCGACACGCCGGTTTACTGAACTAGTTACGAAATGTTTTGGTTTACGTGACGAACCTTGCTAATTGTCCGTGTCGGGTGGTGGCCGGTTTCACGACGCATTCATAATAACCCAAAAAAAACCTCTATTATGGATAATATTGGTCGTGAAAGCCGGCTGCGTGTTACACTGGCGACATTTGGCTGTCTTCGTCATCACGGCTGTCCCCCCCCCCCCCCCCCCCCCCCCCGACGTGACGAGACCATCGACTCTTGCGGAGCGACGCTCACCAAAGTAGGAGAACTAAATACAGCTGCCCAGGCGTCAGGCACTGCTATTTCTCACTCACGCCAACCGCTGCTGGACGTAGCCTTACACGCCGAAGAGACCTCTGGGAGGCTCCCCTCGACTGAACATCTCTGAAAAAAAAGAGCTTAGCAGCTCATCGGATTTCTCCAGCAAAAAAGTTAATATTCCCATTCGAGTGGATGCCATCATGACCCAAGCTGGTCAAGATGTCTTGGAAGAGGGTGGCGGTTTTCAAGCTCGACCCCAGCGCTCGCGACGTGGTGATCGACTTATCGCTACTGTTCAACCCACTTGGGCCTGCTGGCTGGAATGAGCTGGGATACGTGGATTTTATTTAAAAATAAAAATGTGCTGATACCCGGAGTCGAACCCAGGAGATGCCGGCTCAGGCTACGTGAGTGTGGGGAGCGGTGGCGCGGTGGTTAGCGCGACTCACTACCCACCCGGCAACCAGGGTTCGATTCTCGCTCACGGTCGACATCAGCAACGATTATCTGAACCGGCCCCGAGCCTCCCCTACGTTGACTCAGCCTCGAACAAGTACCTGGTGCTCTGGGTAAACATCGCCACTGGGGAGACAAAGGCGGCCGGGCTTGGTACTGGTCACCAATCGCCTCGTGTGCCGTACTGGCTTTCATAAGTGCTACTCTTAATTCGCACTTGCCCCAAAAGTGTTAAGGCTATACGGGGGATCTTTGTCTTTGTGGGTGAGGAAATTGGAACTCAAAGCGTGCGCGAAGCGGCCGGCAGGGGGCGAGGCGGTGCAGGGAGGACGAGGAGCACCAACCACACTCAACACACAGAGGCTGACAACACAGCCACACTCAACACACAGAGGCTGACAACACAGCCACACTCAACACACAGAGGTTGACAACACAACCACACTCAACACACAGAGGTTGACAACACAACCACACTCAACACACAGAGGTTGACAACACAACCACCCTCAACACACAGGCTGACAACACAGCCACACTCAACACACAGAGGCTGACAACACAGCAACACTCAACACACAGAGGCTGATAACACAGCCACACTCAACACACAGAGGTTGACAACACAGCCACACTCAACACACAGAGGCTGACAACACAACCACACTCAACACACAGAGGCTGACAACACAGCCACACTCAACACACAGAGGCTGACAACACAACCACACTCAACACACAGAGGCTGACAACACAACCACACTCAACACACAGAGGCTGACAACACAGCCACACTCAACACACAGAGGCTGACAACACAACCACACTCAACACACAGAGGCTGACAACACAGCCACACTCAACACACAGAGGCTGACAACACAGCCACACTCAACACACAGAGGTTGACAACACAACCACACTCAACACACAGAGCTTGACAACACAACCACACTCAACACACAGAGGCTGACAACACAGCCACACTCAACACACAGAGGCTGACAACACAGCCACACTCAACACACAGAGGTTGACAACACAGCCACACTCAACACACAGAGGCTGACAACACAACCACACTCAACACACAGAGGCTGACAACACAGCCACACTCAACACACAGAGGCTGACAACACAGCCACACTCAACACACAGAGGTCGACAACACAACCACCCTCAACACACAGAGGTTGACAACACAGCCACACTCAACACACAGAGGACGAGGAGCACCAACCACCCTCAACACACAGAGGCTGACAACACAACCACACTCAACACACAGAGGTTAACAACACAACCACACTCAACACACAGAGGCTGACAACACAACCACCCTCAACACACAGAGGTTAACAACACAACCACACTCAACACACAGAGGTTGACAACACAACCACACTCAACACACAGAGGCTGACAACACAGCCACACTCAACACACAGAGGCTGACAACACAACCACCCTCAACACACAGAGGTTGACAACACAGCCACACTCAACACACAGAGGTTGACAACACAACCACACTCAACACACAGAGGCTGACAACACAACCACCCTCAACACACAGAGGTTGACAACACAGCCACACTCAACACACAGAGGTTGACAACACAGCCACACTCAACACACAGAGGTTGACAACACAGCCACACTCAACACACAGAGGACGAGGAGCACCAACCACACTCAACACACAGAGGCTGACAACACAA